CGTGAACCAAGATACTAATACCGAGGCATTAACAAACCATGATCGAGTGATATCATCCAATGAGTAAAATATCCTTGAAACAACAACTGTAGTATATATGTAATAGAGATTATATACCTATGTATATATCTATGTATTACTTTCATATAATCTTCAAACCATGAAGCAAACATATATTTCCAATCTATATCACCCATGCTTCGTTCATCAACGCGCGTGTGATTTGTACTAGTTCTTCTCATCATGATTCACGAAAGCAATTATGGCCCATGCTGTTCACTTGCATTATTGTGTTTCTTCTTTTCTTGACGCAGATCTAGCATCATTTGCATAGCATTCTTGAATTATGTCTTCAAGTTCCTTGAAATATTTCATCACTTTTTTTTGTTTCGTGCTAAAGTGGATGTTCTTTTACAGCCAGACTTCAATTTGATAATTTTTTTTAAAACCCAAATTTAACTTAAATATTTTTAAAAAAGTCCTGCGGCAACGAGCGGGGATTTCAACTAGTATCTTATCTACCCCTAATAATAAAAAGATAAATTTCAGGCATTTTTTTTGTCCAGCCCATTCAATCTGGCCTAACTGTTCTATCACTCACCGCTTTTGGCCCACACACCACGGCCCATTCGCTAGCCTGGACGCTCTCTTCGTCTCGACGGTGCCGGTACAGGAAGTGCGGCGGCGAACATGGGAAGTGGGCGTCGGAAATCTGCGTGCCCAGCACGCCGTGGACGCCGGCATGGCGCTGGTGGAGGCGTCCTACCGCACTCTCGGCGATGAGATGGACAGGCTCAGGGAGGACGCCGAGGCCGCGGAGCTCCGGAGCGGGGTTAGGGCCGTCATCGGTGACGACGTGGCGGCGGGGATGGACGGCGTCTGGAGCGTGGCCGGATGTTCCTTGCAGAGCGACCACATGCGGCTCCTGGATGTGGCTGGAGTCCTACATCGCGCCTGAGGCCGCCGCCGCCGCGTGCCTCCTCCACGGCCGGGCGGGCCACCTCAACTTCCCAGACAACTCCGCCTGATACGCTACGGCGTCCACTCCCCACCGCTATCGCCGTGCTCCGTGCAACGCGTCGACGCTGGCACGGACGCCGACGCGCAGGCCGCTCTCGCGCCGGTGCATGAGTGTGGTCCGCGATGCGACCGTGGTGTCCCGCCGGGGATTACCGCTCTGGTTATAATAGGGACACCCAGATGCGCACCTGGTTGGGGCTCACTTAGGGACCCTCCTCAACTCCGATCAGGTCGCCGCCGGCAGGGATTGGCCCGAGATCGGGCGCCTCTGTTCCGTGGTTCTGGGGAAAGGATGACAAAAACAAATAGAAGAGAAGGAAGGGAGAAAAGCACAAGAGTGAAATAAAAGGTGAAAGGACCTAAATAGAATTTAAGAAACTCCATTTAGGCCCGTTCGGCTTACCTTATAATCCGCGATATTCTTTTTTCAGCTGGAACAGTGTTTTTTTCCCACAACAATTCAGTCAGAATAGTATTTTTCAACCAATTCAGCCAAATTTTAAAAGTGTAGGGGCCTACTTCTAAGAGGTGTTACATGTTGTTGTCCAGAAAACGCCCTCAACTGAATGTATGTTTCGTTTTCTAATTACATATCATATTTAGTTATGGTTCACAAAATTCATATTCACATAGTTTGATGATGAGAAGCTCGACACAGTAAAAGAACTATTTTTAGCTACAATAATTTAAATGACATTTGCTACTGTAAGAACTTTGCTTTAGCCCGTCCAAACTAAAAGCTGTGTGAGGGTGCTTTTCGTAACACTTGCACAATATGACGACAAGATTCAAGTTTCAGGAAAAATAAATTTTTTTCTCAAATATTAAATTTGTGCCATATTTTCTTTTTGAAATATATTAGAGTTCTGTGACATAGAGAAAAAATATGATCCCACTGTTTAGTTAATAGATTAATTTTGTTATATCTTTTTCTAGCAACACACGGGTATTTTTTTCTATCATAGCTAAAGCACAACAATGTAGCGGTACTCACTCTGCCACAAATGAAATCAAATTTTAAAATATCTTAAGTCGAACTATCTAGGATTTGACCATATTTATAGAAAAATATAAATATTATGACATCAATTTAACATTACTGTGACACGTAGTTGAGGATGGTAGAGAAACACGTACTCTGGATTTGAGCTTTAGTAATCAACTGTGGTAGGTAAGTTATGAAGGAAGGTGAGGTTATCATTTGAGTTGAATCAAGTCTATTGGCCTAGAGATGCTACTGTTTTTCTTTCTCCCGTTGTAACGCATGGGCATCTTTGCTAGTACAGCCAAATAAGGGAGGTGCTAAGAATCAAATACCTACAACCGACTACTTCCTCCGTCATAAAATATAGTTCATTTCAGTTAACGTGTTTCTCCTTAAATTATGTTTTAACAAACTTTATCAAAACTAGACATTGACATCATGTAGAATGCACTATATTTCAGTACAAATGGCGAGCACAAGGATGGATCAACGAAGAATATGGCTAGGGCAAAGAGATTCGGCTACAAAGTATAGTTGAAGCAATTTTTCCCTAGTGGAGTCGTGAAAAAGTGTGTTAATGAGAAGATCCATCACACACCATCTAGGACTAGATCACTAGAGTCGCCATGAACCGAAGAACGTGGCAAGAATCACATTTACATGGTGAAGAATGGAGAGGTTTACGAGCAAACCATCAAAAGGTAACCAATTGCACTTACTTGACGAAGAGCGACTAGTTTTCGAGCAAACTAGCAAAGGAACCATCGAAGCTCTCACCCGAGAAGGACCCCGTTGGGGCAAGGATGTCGCCGGGTTGCCCTAGGTTGGCCAGCAAGCCTAGGCGCCATCCTTGGTTATCGGATCAAGCGAAGAACAACAACATGGGGTTAGGAGAGAGTTTAGGGCAAAAAGAGAGAGGAGTAGATTGATTTTTGATTGATTGTGTGTGCTGGGCACCTCAATCGACTATGGCCCTTATATTTATAAGGAGGGGTGGTCTTATCCTCGTGGGTGAAACCCTTCTAAAACATGTCAAACACATTTTAGATCTCGATCGAAGTTGGCTAAGCCGACTTGGAGTCAACCTAAACCAGTTCTTACAAGTTTACGGTAAAAGCTTATGAAATTCATAATTAATTCATCGGACTTCAAACGAGGCGATTCTATATATGTTGTCAATCAGCTCGACGAGAGGAACTCAACGATACGATTGATTCTTGAATTTGAGAAAGTTGGGAAAGTCGACTTAGCTAGTTTCGGCTGGGTCAGCCCAGCAAAAGGCTGTTTTCTTTGCTCGGGCTCTAAATGCGATGATTCAAGTATGCTTTCTAGATGTCTTGACGATGAAAACATGATGGCGGAATCCATTATGCACTTTGGATAATTTTGGTTGTCAACAATACCCTAAATTTTTTTGCCCCCCCCCCAACACCCCCAATATCTAAATTCTAGCTCCACCCCTGGTTTTGAGTACCGCTCGAAATTCGACTTGCAATATTTTGAAAACATGGTTCCATGCATTCTGAAAGGTCATCGTAAAATCATCGTGAGCAATCAGAACCATCTTCCCTCTATGATCCTTACTGCATACATCGCACCACCTAAATTACCGCTCTTATCTATTCTTTCAGTCTCTTCAATTCTATCCGCACCTAAACTTTTCACATTAGGGGAGTAGAGAGTGATTTCTATTATTTATTCTTTGTTTGCTCCAAATTATTATTTTTCTCCTGCTCACCATCGTCAATGGCCATGAGCGTCTGAAGAGATGGATCATGGCTTTTATTATCCACCATGGTGCTAACCATTGTCAACTGCCATCCATAAATTCTTTCGTCTTAATAATTGAGAGGCAGAACTCATGCCTTTGTCTCAAAAGAAAAATTGTAGACTGCCATCAGCATCTGAAGAGATGGATCATGGCTTTTATTATCCACAATGGTGAGCCAGGCATGTATCTCTAAGGATATGAAATTCGGGTTAATAGACCAGTTAGTGCATTTGTCCCCGTCTCCCTGAACGGTATCTGTGGCCCTCAGTATGTAGTCAAGAGAGTTTCACTAATACTTACATATATTTTTAAAACATTTTTAGCTACCTTACGTCTAAAAGATTATGTAAACTTTAGAAGTTTTTCATTCATTCCCATGAATAATTTACCATTTGCATCTTCATTATTTTTATAGGCCTCATGCTCTTAACTAATCATATTTCTTTATGCGCAGTAGCTGTCAAGCAAAGGACGGGAACGTGCATTCAGAAATTAGGACCTTTTTTTTCCAAACACCATGCAATCCATAACCTATCAAGTACCACAACACTAATGCGCAAATTCTTCTCATCATGATTCATGAAAGCAATTATGGCTCATGCTGTTCACTTGCATGATTGGCCCCGTTCGGCTTGCTGAAACTTGACTGAATTGGCTGAAAAACACTGTTCTGGCTGAATTATTGTGAGAGAAAAACACTATTCCAACTGAAAAAACAAGCTGAATTGTGTTCTTCTTTTTTCTTCGACAGATCTAGCATCATTCGCATAGCATTATTGAATTATGTCTTCAAGTTCCTTCGAAACATTTCATCACCTTTTTGTTTTGGGCTAAAGTGGATGTATCTTTTTTTTTTACAACTAGACTTCATTGATATTTTTTTTTACAATCAGAATTTAACTTAAATTATTTTCAAGAAGTCCTCGGGGAATTCGACTAGTATCTTATTGAGCCATATACCTGAAAATGACTAAATCTTAGGCAACGCATATGAGTCACTGATCTTCAATCCAAACTCCAACTCTTTGATGTTTCCGTTTTTCCTCTACTGCCCAGTTGCAATCCTGGACAGAGATTGCCCAGCCTGCAGCGAAGCAACAGCGTTCCTGAAACCTACACGTACCCCGTCTGCTTATTGCAGTCCTAGTTTCTTAACCTTTATTACGCAGAAATAAACTAATCTGCGTGCTGAAACTGACCAAGCTAGACCAATCCATTTTCAAGCTAAGCTGCAAATTGTATGAGCTTCTCCAGATTCATATATGACGATCCTCCATGCTCCAAAGCAGACTTCGCTTTGGCCTTCAGCTCCGTAGCTTTCGTCCTCCTTGCCTCCCCATCCGCTCCTCCATCCATCAGCATATCCAGCGCTCGCTTCACCTGCTCCATTGACACATCCGCCTTCGCCTTGCCGGCGCCGCCGCCATCTTTGGCGCCGGTCAGCACGCCCTCCGTGGGCTTCGTCACGCCGACAGACACTCCGATGCCGAGCACGCCAACGATCAGCTTCTCGTTCAGGAACTGTTCGGCGGAGAACGGCCAGGTGGCCATGGGCACGCCCGCGGCGACGCTCTCCAGCGTGGAGCCCCACCCGCAGTGCGTCAGAAAGCCGCCGACGGCCGGGTGCTCCAGAATGGCGACCTGCGGCGCCCACCCGCGAACCGCGAGACACTGGCCGTCGCCGCCGTCGGTGTTGCACTGTAGCCACTCGCTGACGTCGTCGGGCAACGTGTCCGCGCCCTTGATGACCCAGAGGACAGGCCAGGAGCACGACACGAGCGCCCGCCCGAGCTGCATCAGCTGCGCCGGCGGCATGCGGCCGGCGCTGCCGAAGCTGACGTAGAGCACGGACGACGACGACTCGGCTTTCTTGGCGTCCAGCCATGCCATGCACCGTCTGGAGTCATCGTCGACCGAGCTGGCGGCCCAGAAGTCGAGGAGGCTAGGAGGTGCGCGTGCGCCGCCGCCGCACAGCGAGACGGGGCCGACGGCGAGCACGGTCTTGCCCGTGGCGGCCGCGAGGCATGCGGCCGAGTCGTGTTCCAGCTCCTCGAAGCTGTTCACGACGATGCCGTCCACGGCCATCTCGAACTCCCGGAGCTCTCGAAGGCGGTGCTCCGGAATGGAGCAGGAAGGCAGGAACTGTAGCGGCAGCTGCCTCCTGGCGAACTTGAACTCGAAAGGCGGCGGCAGGACCGGGACGTCGATGAGCTCGTCCAGCGACTTGCCCTCGTGCGGTTTGTGCGTGTTCAGATACTCGCAGCACAGCAGAGCGAACGCGCCGAAGCCATGGAAGATGAAACAGGGCGCGCCGAGCTCACACGCCACGCCGTGCGCCCACGTGTTGCACATCCCGGCGACGATGCAGCTCGGCCGCCGGTGCGTGAGGAGGCGGCGGCAGTGCCGCGCCACGGCGTCGCCGAATTGCGCGTTGGCGTCGAAGAAGTTGGGCACGAGGTCGACCGAGGGGACGTGGTCCAGCCTCTCGCAGCCCTCCGGCAGGCCGGCTTCGGCGCCCGGGAACGGGAGCGCGGTCACCGTGATGCTGATGCCCGCCGAGCGGCCATGCCCGGCGCGGGCGCGGTCCACGCGGCTCTGGACGAGCTGCGCGCTGGATGGCGGGGTGATGATCGTGACCGGGGCGCCGTGCGCGGCGAGGAGGCAGCCGATGTCCACCATGGGAATCATGTGGCTGGTGACTGGCCATGGGATGACCACGAAATGAGGCTTTGGGTTTGGGCACGGGGTGACCTCCATTTCGTAGCTAGATTCCTGACACCTTGTCAAGACTGCAAGAACTTGCACAGGGGTGCTACTGCTATATATCTGCTTGTAAGGATTCCCAATAATGGCCAATGCTATATAGTTTCAGAGATTGTATAATTGCAGTGGACAAAGCTATGCAAAACAACAAGATTGGTGGCATTGTCACTGATAAAGTGACAAGGACTGGCTGGATTTGTCCAAACTCCAGCATCGATCTCATTTTCACATGTGCAGTAAAAAAATCTTGCCTGTGTTGTACCCTACCGTTGGAGGAAAACATTATAGTAGTGAAAGATTCCAGTGCATGAGGATGGGCATGTATAGCCCAGTGGCTAAGCTCCGGGGAGGAGCCGGCCCCGGCCGGCGGGAACCAGAGTGACGCCAACATTTGAGCCATAGTAAATTCTTTGAACAGCTGTGATACACTACTTAAGGCTGTGTTTGGTATGGCTACTAGGAGTTCCAGCTCCTCAAAATCACTATCAGCATGTTCGGTTGGCTGGTTCGTATCGTTGCTGGTTCGTGAAAAGGTACTGCTGGCTGGTTTGTATGAGAGAAAAATACTGTTCCGGCTGGAAATTTACGATCGTTTACGATAAGCCACAGCCAAACGAACAGGCTGTATAGCGATACTATAGCGTGGAGACGTTTCGGATTTCGAGATAAAGGCCCTGTTCGGCTTACCCCATATTCGGCTTGTTCGGCTTCTTTTTTTTAGCCGAAACAGTGTTTTTCTCTCACAACAATTCAGCCGGAAAAGTGTTTTTCAGCCAGTTTCAGCCAAGCTTCAGACCAGCGAACGGGGCAAAAAAATGAATTGAGAAGAGTAGCCGGTGGAGCCATGATTTGCAACTTCTCCGGCTCCGTGCTACAGTATGGTTACCGTGCCTAAGCCGGAGCCGGTAAGAGCTGTGCCAAACTGTCACACCCAATTTTAAGGATAAAATTGAATGCACTAAACTCATGTGTGCCTAGGGATCAATCACACACACAAGCTGACAAATTAAGAAAGAGTATCATCACAGCGTATCTTACATCACGATAATAACATAACTTAGTCTTATACATCACAGCGGAAAATAAAAGATAACTCTCTCTCGTGGAACACCATCACAGGGAAGGTCAACTGGTTGACCACAAGCCTAATAATCCTCAGGAAACTCCTCATACACGTTGTCATCTGTTACCCATCCGGGATTTTTATCCAAATAAAGAAAATAAACAAGCGTAAGTACTTCCCGTTCTTAACAAGATAACATGGGGATTCATGAGGCTCAAAAAGGTTGACACTGGTTTACTGCAGTTAGCACTTTTAGTAAGTCAAGATTTTATTATCAAGTATCATCAAGTTATGCTTAAGCTCCCATTTAAACCCACTTAATCAGATATCAGCATCATTTGAATCATATCATCATAAACCATCATAAATGAACAACAATGAGTGACCAATTATTCTGTGAGTTTTCCGGGCCGCTCGTGACCGTGAGCACGGCTGTTATAACAGTTTGTTACCCTCTGCAGAGGTGGTGCACATTCACCGCGAGTCGTGATCCCCATATGCCCGGGTTAGTTACTCCCATATCACTGCCAAGGTGAGCGGGCAGGGTACACTATGAAGCCATTTCATAGGTTTCTCTAACAAGTTAGGGCCGCTAGGTTTCCTTGGCAGGCAGATGTAGGAACCCCCCTTTCCTATGGCACATATCCATCGCGGCTATACACATAGGAACAGAGGCAGCCCTATACCCAACGTGGCAAACCCCATTTGCGCCAAAAAGGTAACCTCTAACTAGCTAGAAAAGGTCCTATTACTGAGCTAAAGTCAGAGCCATATGACTCTCACGGTTGCACTGTCAGTCCCAGCTTTTGCCGACAGATAAGTCCTTATGGAGGGCCGAGTGCAACATGATCAACAGTCATTCGCACCTTCGCCCTATGGAACAGTTGTTATAAATCAGGTTATACTTTTAGTTCCATAGATTCATTCATCATCATGTAGATCATGTTCAGTTAGAGCACTAGCATTCTACCCATATGCAATTACCCAATAGGAGTCAAGGAAACAAGTCATCAAATGTCTAGAATGTCCTTAGGGTTATTAAAATTAGACACATGCACATGAGTAATTGATTAAAGTGAAATAGGACATCAAGGTAGGCCCATGCTATACTTGCCTTGGTTCACAAACTCTTGTTGTTCCTGCTGGTCGTCGAAGAGTTCTTGGTCTCCAACGTTTTCCTCACCGTCTGAACGCGACCAACACGGCAACATTCAACATTCCAAAAGCATTCATGCAAAACAAACATTCCTATCATTAGAACAGTACACCAACAGTATTGGAAACATTATAAAATGTTTGTAAAAATAACCTACGTCTCGCTACGATCACGTCAACGCGAAATTCACGAAAAACGGAGCTAAAACGCGAAAGTTATGATTTAAACGGGTTTTCCTATAGCAATATATTTAATTAAATCTAACCATGAATTTAAAAAGTTCCAAACTTGACTAACAGTGGTTCTAACATGTAGGTTATGGAATTACGAAGCTAACGCGATTTGAATGGATCAATTCGGAGCTAAAACGACAATTTTATAAGCGAAACAGTTCAAATGACATTTCTGTAAATACTGAAAACGTATTTTAGACTTAAGCAGTGATCTTTACGCTTTCAAAATGAGAATGCGTAATAAGGAAAATACGCTTTGGGCTGCAGGTTCTATTCATCCGAAACCGAGGGTCTCTTTTGCAAATCTGCCACGCGAAGGGGTACCGGACGTTCTCGGCCGTTGGATTAGAATTGAGCGGCCAGAAATGGATCCGGGGGAAGAGAGAAGAAGTCGGGCCGCCGTAACAAAGGATTTGTGGTGACGGCTCACCATGAACGGCGGGCGGCTTCACGGCGAAGCTTGGTTAGGGCTCCACGGGCCACGGAATACATATCCGAGGGCACCGGAAGAAGCGGAGGAGCGGGGGTCATGCTCGCCCAAAAGATGGCGGAGGGTGCTGCTGTGGTGGCGGCGGTCGCCATGGCCGGCGTCCAAGAGCATTCGGAGCTCGCGGCTATGGCGCTAGGAACCATCTAACGCCAAAGAAAAGGGCCGGGGAGAAAGAGGAGAGCAAGGGGAGGCTCACAGCGGGGAACTCGGTGACGGATTCGGCTCGGGGAAGGCGGCGACGCGGACGGCGAGGACGGTGGCCGGCGGAGCTCTTCCGTGCGGCGGTTGCGACCTCCGTGGCGTGAGCGCGAGTGAGAAAACGGAGTGGGGAGAGCAGGGGAGCGCACGGGGGGGGCTCGGCTCCTTTAAATCGAGGCCGAGGAGCGAGGGGAACGCTCCCACGACGCGCGTCGTGGGCGGCGGTTGCAAAGAAGGCCAGCGCTTGGCGGTGTTCCGAGCCACGCGGGAGGAAGGGGATGGCGCTGACACGCGGGGCTAGGCGGGCCATGCCATGTGGCGCGAGGAAGGCACGGCTGGTCTGGTCAAGGGTCATCTTTGGCAAGGCAACAATAATGGTCTGGCTAGCTATGTTGGCCGAGCAAGGCGGGGAGGCGAGCTGGGCCAGTGAAAAACTAGGCTGCGGGGGAAGGAGAGAAGGCCAGCGGGCCAAAATCAAGAAAGGGGGAGAAAAGAGGAAAAAGATTCTTTTCTTTTCTTTTTCTACTATTTTCCAAATCCCTTTTTAAATTCAAATTTCAATTCTTTTTGAAATATTTAATTAATTCCTAACATTCACAAAATGATATGCAGCAGCATGTATGCATCAAAAAGTTTCTAACCTTATATTTAATTTTAATTCCACAACATTTATTATTTTCCTATATTTTAATGCACACATATTTGCATAAATAAATCATATTTAGCTATTTTAAAAGAATGTCATTTTTAGGGTGTTACAATTCTACCCCCCTTAAGATGAATCTCGTCCTCGAGATTCGGGTGATTGCTTACTCAAACAGTTGGGGATACGTCTTTCTCGAGATCCTCTTCTCTTTCCCAAGTAGCCTCATCCTCTCAGATATCGATTCCATCGCACCTTGCACATCTTCTGATTCGGATTCTTGTAACTCTTTCGGTAGTTTCCAAGATCTTTATCGGATACTCTTCATAAGTAAGATCTTCCTTGATGACAAGTTCTTCCAAAGGAATCGCTCTTCCGGTACCCTCAAACACTTTTTCAATTGGGAAACATGGAACACGTCGTGCACACCGACAAACTCTCGTGCAATTCCAACTGGTAAGCTACTTCTCACGCTCTCTAGGATCTTAAAAGGTCCTATATACCTTGGTGCTAACTTTCCCTTCATATTGAATCTTCTCACACTTCTCATTGGTGACACCTTCAAGTACACATAATCACCAATCTCGAAAGTCAGCTCTCTTCTGCGAGTATCAGCGTAACTCTTCTGTCGGGACTGAGCTACTCTCAAATTGTCTCTAATCATTCTCACTTGTTCTTCCGCGTCTCTAAGGACATCAGGTCCAAACACTTGAGTTTCTCCAGTCTGATTCCAGAACAAAGGCGTTCTACACTTACGTCCATACAACGCCTCAAAAGGTGCCATCTTGAGACTCTTCTGATAACTGTTGTTATACGAGAACTCTACGTATGGCAGACTCTTATCCCAACTATCACCATACTGAAGTGCACAAGCCCTCAACATATCTTCTAAGATCTGGTTGATCCTTTCAGTCTGTCCATCAGTTTGCGGGTGGTAAGCAGAACTGAAATTCAACTTTGTTCCCAAAGATCTATGTACTTTATGCCAAAATTGCGATGTAAACTGGGTGCCTCTATCCGACACAATTTTCTTGGGAACACCATGTAAGCACACTATTCTTTCCATGTACAACTCTGCTAATCTTGCACCATTATAGATAGTCTTGACTGGTAAAAAGTGAGCAACCTTGGTGAGTCGATCCACTATTACCCATATTGAATCATAACCACTTTGAGTGCGGGGCAGTCCTACAATAAAATCCATACCAACT